TAGGAAGTCTCTTGGGATTTCCTCTGATACCCTCCTTGACCCTCACTTCCTCAATAGGCTTTGCTCCCCTGCTTGCTACGAGAAATGCCCCAACGTTGTTGAACTTTACTTCAATATGGCCGAAGGAGAGGGTAAGATTTCACATATCCATTTTTTATTTCACAGATGCATCTACTACGACGTACCTTCAAATTAATAAATATGGAACTAATATAGTTTGTTAAATGTTTTTACAAATGCAGGAGTATTCTTGCCTTATCTCTGTGAGCAAGAACTTTCCAATCCTCACAGAGCCATGAGCGAACTTTCAAGTTCTGGACCTAGTTATGCTTTTTCTTATGGTCCGGATTCAAAAGAATCATCAACGAAATTTCATACTCCTAGTCCGGTTTCAAAAGAACTACCAAAAAAAGTTCAAGACACTTTTACCCATGCTTCCGCCCCTAGTCCGTTTTCAAAAGAGGCATCAAGGGGTTTGGTCTAGTGGATATCCTGGCTAGGCCTGCAAGTGGGCGAATGTTAGCTGGCCTCAGTGAGGTCCAGCGTTCGAATCCCACCTTGTGAAAAACACCCACTGGGGAGAGTCAAATCCGTTCAGGTCTACGACTCGGAGTGGTTGCTCACTTGCCACCATTTTTTTTACCCAAAAAAAAGAGGCATCAAGAAAATTTCATGTGACTTTTGCCCCTAATTCCGCCCATGGTCCAATTTCAAAAGAAATAACAAGAGAATTTCATGATACTTTTGCCCCTGCTTTCGCTCCTGGACGAGCTTCAAAAGAAATAACAAGAAAATTTCATGACACTTTTGCCCCTGCTTTCACCCCTGATTCGTTTTTAAAAGAAACATCGAGAAAAGTTCACGACACTATTGCCCCTACTTTCTCCCCTGGTCCAGTTTCTAAAGAAATGTCAAGAAAGTTTCATGACACTTTTGCCCCTGGTCCAATTTCAAAAGAAATATCAGGAAAATTTCATGACACTTTTGCCCCTGGTCCAGTTTCAAATGAAATAGCAGGAAAATTTCATAACACTTTTGCCCCTGGTCCAGTTTCAAATGAAATAGCAGGAAAATTTCATAACACTTTTGCCCCTGGTCCAGTTTCAAATGAAATATCAGGAAAATTTCATGACACTTTTGCCCCTGGTCCAATTTCAAAAGAAATATCAGGAATGTTTCATGACACTTTTGCCCCTGGTCCGGTTTCAAAAGAAATATCAGGAAAGTTTCATGACACTTTTGCCCCTGGTCCGGTTTCAAAAGAAATATCAGGAAAGTTTCATGACACATTTGCCCCTAGTCCAATTTCAAAAGAAATATCAGGAAAAGTTCATGACACTTTTGCTCCTGGTCCAGTTTCAAAAGAAATATCAAGAAAGTTTCATAAAACTTTTGCCCCAGGTCCAATTTCAAAAGAGATATCAGGAAAATTTCATGACACTTTTGCTCCTGGTCCAGTTTCAAAAGAAATATCAAGAAAGTTTCATAACACTTTCGCTCCTGGTCCGGTTTCAAAAGAAATATCAGGAAAATTTCATGACACTTTTGCCCCTGCTTTTGCCCCTAGTCCGGTTACAAAGAAAATGTCAAGTAAATTTCATGAAGCTTTTCCCCCTAATATGAAATCAAGAAAACTTCATCCCTAATTTTTTTTCTCCCCTGCTTTCACTCATGGTTCTGTTTCCGAAAGGACCATCAAGAAAATTTCATCCTTGTCTTTCCCTTGCTCCCTCTCATAGCCGTGTATATGTTCCGTGTTGTGTGGTTTCTTCAAATAATTTCCTTTCGAGGGTAGGTAGCGAGGAAAATTATTTGTGGGGGAAAAGGTAATTTTTAGTGAGAAATTATTAGCCATATAAACATATATCGAACACTAGGAAATATGGGTTCGTTTTATTTTTGGGGTTGGGGAATGTTGTGGTTACAACATTTCAATTGTACATACAATTCTGTAATAAATTGTACATTTCATAATATTTTGGAATAGACTTGTAACTATATGAGGAATCCTGAATATTGAAAAACATTTATTTATTTTTATTTCACTCATCGAGAGAATGTTGACCAACTTTTACAATATACACATTTTATTACAAGTTATTTGCAATCAAAGAAATACAACTGCTAACCAAACCATGCACGTCAAAATAAAAAATAATAACTTTGTTTGAGAAAACCAAAACCACAGCGTCTAGACGAATATTTGGAAACGACTTCTAACATTGGGGTAGATCCGCCGGTGGTGCAGGCAAAACCCATGGGGTGGGTCCATTTTCAACCTCAAAAACCATCCCCAGACCCCATGGCAAATGCACGTCCAAATGACAGTGCATAAACCACATACCTGTACAATAATTCAAAAGAAAAAAAAAATCAGAAATTGTTTTGATCGTAAAAATATACAAAGTAAGTGTGAGTTATACTAGTTGATTAAGATAGTGTGTCTGCCCTTTGCACTCAAGATTAATCTCGTTTTGTCCAACAACAAAAAAAGATATAAGAAATCAATTAAGGAAATGTTTTAGAAAATTAACCTGGATTATTTGCTGTAAATCTAATCACGGCCCATCCTCCAACCGGCACACCAATTGTGTTACGAATTTGTGGATTAACGAGATTAAACTTTTTGGGATCGTTGATTGGGTCGTAATTTCCAAACCCTTGAGCCAACACGTGGAAATTGAAACCGTGGAGATGTATCGGATGGTTCTCGATCGCCAAAAATGCCGTGTTCTGAAGCACGATCTCCACCGTAGAATTGAACTTCAACGTTTTGACTTTGGTCGATTTTGGCGCGTAGATGAGCGACAGGTCCAAGCTGATGTTCGAGTCCGTGTAGTCAAACTTGACCAGGGGCTGGTCGGGGAAATCAGTGGTGTAGATCCCACTCACATTGTAAAACTGTGCTTGCATCATAGACAGATTGGTCGGGAGCTGGAACGACTCGTTGCTCATGCTCGCAGACAATCGGTTATTGAATGGACCTTGACACGTGGCATTTACGGGACACAGCTCCAGATTCACTCCTACAGTCACGAACATGTGCTCGTCCACGTTGGTGGGGACCGGGACCCACTGGGGACCGCCAGCGAGTCCGGTGATATTGGTGTTGAACTTGTGGGCCGTTGGCGTGTCGCTGGGATTGGGCAGGGCCGGCATGATCGGTGATGATGACGTGGAGTTCTCGTAGACGATGATGCCTCTTGTGGTGGTGTTATCAAAGTTTATGTTCGCGCTCATATACGGAGTGGCGGCCATGTAGTAAGATCCTGTTTGTTGATTGGCGGTGATGAGAACGTCGGTAGTTTGACCGGGCGCGACGACCACGACATCCGTGATGTAAGGAGTTGTGTAGGCGGCGTCGATTGCGACAACTGTCATGTTGTGATTGGCTATCTTGTAGAAGAGCTGGTTATTGAGCGCAGCGTTGATGATGCGTAGCAGGTAGGTCTTTCCTTTCACCACCTTCACCTGGTATGTCTCTGATAAATTGATACGAGTGTGAATATTCATTATTCAACAGATAAACAAATAAATTTATGCGTATAGTAACACTTGTTCAAATATATGCATGAGCGATTATTCTTAAATAGGATGTGTATATCAGAGTTACGTACGATTTTGAGAGCAGTCATAAAGATCGCCGGGTAGGCCATTGATGGAATAAGCATTAGAATTGTTAGGAGCAATTCCAGTAGCTAGGCCTTCGTTCTCAATGTCAACAACATTACCATTCCACCACTCTCCTGCAATTCCATATATCAAACAGTTTATTAAGAAGATCTAAATTGCGTATGTCATGATATGCATATGGTTTGTTACGTACCCAAGATGATGGGAATTTCCTTATAGGGCTTGGGGAAAGGGAAGGATCGGCCGGCTTTCGGGTGGATGATGAGGGCACCATGGACGGTTGCCCGGAGCCAAGAGACATGAGCATGCCACCAGAGAGTTCCTTCTTGTCCTGTGATATTGAATCTGTAAGTATAGTTGTTTCCAGGAAGTATAGGGCATTGGGTTACATATGCTGGTCCATCAGCCCATGCACTCAGAAGCTGAAAGATTCCATGCCTGCATCAAGCAAGAAAGAAATTATACGTTATAAATAAAACATATAAACCATGGTCAATATGGCAGTAAATTCCCATCTCCAGAAATTTTATTATGTATACTTTATATTAGCTTAAGCAGGTTGGGTTTGACGATATCTCAAAAATAATTTACTATTTAATATAAGTTGTTAAGCTTCATATTGATTCGTTGGAAGAATGGTAGTCTCTCCTTTTCAATCAAGCAAAAAATGATTGACTAATTATACACACACATATATATTATATCAAAGTCAATATAATTTGTGAAAAGATATATATGAATATCTACCAGTGAATACTAATGTTATAGGGTGACTGGTTAAAAACATGGACGACAAGTGTGTCGCCGTCACGTGCTCTGATTGTTGGGCCGGGATAGCTCCCATTTACTACGGTTATCGATTGCTCCTTGCACAGTCGGGTTACAGTCAGATTGTTCACCTGAAAAAACAAAAAAACAAACAAAAAAACAAAAAGAATGTGATGAACTATATTCCAAACATATCACAGGAACATAAAACAGTATAATTTGGTTTGCAATTGTGTAGAGTTGATGTGCTTGTGAGCCAAGGCTTACATTAAAAGAATGCTCAACAATTGCACCAGAGGCTAGTGAGGAAGCCAATAGAGCTAAAGCACATGCTAGCACGAAGGCAAACCGTGCCATGTCGGGAAGAAATGCTACGTATAACAATAGCTCAAGAGGAAATGAGGAAACTATAAGGAAAAACTATAATTTTTTATTGCTCTTGCAATATTTCAATAGGGGGATATGGTGCTGTATATATAGGCATTTTGGAGGTAGCTAGCGGGAGCGGCTAAGTCATATATAATTTCCACAATTGCGTGACAACTTAGGTAATACAAATTCATTGGTTTAGAGCCTTTGGAAATGCAGGCATTGCAGCGCTTTTAGTTTAGCATAGAAAATGACCTTCTCGTTATCCAGCTAACAGTTTTTTTAAAGTCAGAAACTTGGTTCTATCAGCAAACAATCCTTTTGACCCTGCGCCCAAATACAATTTACAGAAGCTGACAAATAGAAAAATGAATTAGATGCTTTGCATTGGTGGAGGAAGTCGATCGGAAAAAAGAGGGCTCCGAGAAAGTTATTTCTTCCTTGCAATGATGCTTTGCATTGATACTGAAAGGCTGTTGTTGTGTTGTGCTGATCAAGTTCTAGTTAACAGCTGGCATATATATATTCAAATTCATTTTTGCATGTGGCATTTGCAGATACCCAGATACAGACGCAGACAATTAATATCAGTTTCTGGAGAGGGAGAGGTCGACGACTTTTTCATAAGCGACAAATATCTTATGTTCATTCCCCGTTTGTTGATTCGCTGCAAGACACCTCTAATTTCTTTGTGGTCACTGGTGGACCCAGAATTTTTTTAGCAAAGGTGCAATATTGACTAAGTATGAAAAATGATTTTTCGGAATAATCATTTTCTCACAAATCAAATAAGAAAACTTGATTTTGTGGGATTTTAGTATGAAGTATATATTGACTTAATGAGCCATCATTTTTTGCCTAAATCGTACTTTGCATTAAAACCGATTTTTCATATTTTGATTTGGTGGGAATTTGATTTTCTAGTATTTTTATTTGAATCCAAATAGGGGGTACTTCCTTATTTACATTGTAAACTTAAGAAAATGGAGTAATATAAAAATAAATGAAAGTAAAAAGATAAAGACATTTACTTAAATGTTAAAAATGGAAATAAGGTAATCTGTACACCAGTTGAGCAAATGGGCAATTTGAAGCACCTAAAAATGGTTTTTCAGACAAGGGTAGGTGCAGCTGCACCTCCTTGCGCCTTAATAGGTCCACCACTATTTATGTCTACACATGTTTGGAACCTTATTTTAATGTCTACGAAACCCTAAACTAGTTGTTTCGTGGGTCGATAGACCAATATGTATATTGGGCAGCTGTTGACTATACAGATCGCTGTTCACATGTCTTGACATTCAACAACATAACTGATATTGATATATACAAGTACAAAAATCAAAATTTTCCTCTTCAAGAAACGTGATCTCATCCGTCGTTGTGACTTGCAATATATAGTAACATGTGAGTATTTATGGTTTGAAATTTAAGCCTCGAAACTACAAGCCGAATCAATATTTTCGTGGTATATGTTAATAATACGGCAAGTATTAGTAATTTATGGCAAAAGACCTTGAATTAGTCTAATAGGTGGAGAAGCCGTAGCCTAAACTTGTTCTATTCATTTGTTGTGAGATAAATAAATTCTCATGGTCAACATGATTATCCTTGTTCCAAATTTTGGCACTTTTTTTCTTCGCAATGACTGTAAGATATAAGTTGATATTCGAGGAAAACTAGCAGCCATGGTCTGCTTCTGTGAGGTTTTGCGCGTATCAACCATGATCATGTTAAACAGTTGACCAAACAGTCAATTAGATCGCCCGTATTCGAATCTGTTCATATTTAAATTAAAGAATTTAGGAGGAAAGTAAAAGCGTATACTATAATAAATGATTCATTAATTACAACATTTGGAAAATAGGAGATTAAACACTTTAAATAATGCTATGGAGATTAGATTTTAGAGAAATTCTTTGGATGTAATAAATGCATATTTATTTGTTATTACTTCACCCTAGTTAGGTCCATTGATTATCAAACATGTTATCCATCTATATATAACACTAAAATTAATAACGCAGCATAATAGGTTGACGATCACATGTAAATATTTTCCACCTATATAATATTATCTCGTTGGATGTAGGTGGTGCATACAAGGGTGGAACCAGGAATTTTTCAACGGGTGGGCTAGCTAAAGTTATTAGCTTAAAATTTAATGATTATTTTTTTTGGTACTTACAATTTCTATAATCTTTCTAGAAATAAAAGTCAACATTAAATCATATAAACCACGCTAGTTCATAGCTTCATAGACTAATTTTCAATAAGTTTTAACATAAACCAAATAGGGTTTAACACCATAGTGGATTGAACGTCTAAGGCTTTTTACCTAGATTGACCTTAGGTTCCTTCATGCATTCATATCATACATGAAAAATTGTTTTATGTAAAAATATTGACTAAGTATGAAAAATGGGTTTTCAGAATAATCATTTTCTCAAGATAATTTTTTGTGGCTTTTATTCTTCACACATCAAATAAAAAAACTTGATTTTATGGGATTTTAGTATGAAGTATATATTGACTTAATGAGCCATTATTTTTAGCCTAAATCGTATTTTGCAATAAAACCGATTTTTCATATTTTGATTTGGTGGGAATTTGATTTTCTAGTATTTTTATTTGAATCCAAATGGGGGGTACTTCCTTATTTACATTGTAAACTTAAGTAAATGGAGTAATATAAAAATAAATAAAAGTAAAATAACAAAGATATTTACTTAAATGTTGAAAATGAAAATAAGGTAATCTTTACACCGCCACTGACTAGGCTAATATTGAAAATAAGTTAAATATATAGGTTTTATATTTTTTTTCTTAAAAAATCACACTAGGCTACAGCCCACTGTAGCCTTTAGTGTGGTTCCGCCCTTGGGTGCATATTATATACATAATGAAGTATGAAAATGCGGTCAAGGAGATAAGCTTTATGGGTCGGCTCTCATGGCAAAGATGGATGTTATAAGGGCAGTTCTGTTTGCTTGTCAACAAGGGGGTTTCTCTCGGGTGGTGGTGGAGTCTGATTCCCAAATTGCCATCAAGATGGTGAAGGGGGAGAGGGCAGTGGATATGGAGGTAGATAGTATTCTCTTCGACATCCAGACTACAATTCGAGAATTCCAAGAAGTAATTTTTATTTTTGCACCTCGCAACTGCAACAAAACTACTCATGAGGTTGCAACTTTTGCGTGTAGGGTAGGTGGTAGTTACTATTGGGACTTTGTACCTCCAGATTGGTTGTTTAATATCTTAGTCGGAGATGCTAATGTTTGTGTTCGCCTTTAATAAAAGTATTTGATTCTTAGAAAAAAAAAGTATGAAAATATGGTCTTTCTAGGATTAATACTTCTTAATTAACAATGTGTTTTTTAAGGTGTTACTTGTTCAACAAAAACACTACAAAGATTGCCAACGTAGTCTAACCAAGTGAAAAATGGCCTTGAGTTGCAGACCAGAGGTTTCAGGTTCGAATTCGTACAGAATCATAGTCGTGTGTATGTGTAAGAAATCCCCCTCTCTATAGTTTAGACTATCACTTGTATTTAGAAAAAATAACACTATAAAGACTGGTCTATACAAAATGGTTTTTTTATTTTTTTATAGTGATCTATGCAAAATGGTTTGATTATAATATACTGCGCACACACATTATGTCGACACAAATGGGTGCAAGATTTGCCATCAATTGGGCTAATATAGTATATAGGCATGAGTATTACAACATCATCCCAATATTTAATCCTCGGGCTTGGGATGGCCCAGTAATGCTCTGATGC